CTTGTTTATGTTTTAAGGTGGAAAGGTGGGGAGGGGACAGATTGCACAGCAAGGCGGAACAGTTATTGACCAAATTGATCATGGGAACAAATCAGCCGGGGGTAACCTTGTTTAATGATATGTTGCTGGGCTCAGCACCTTGCCGGGGCTGTGATTCTTCACTGGCTGGGCCGAGTGATGGATCGCGGTGGGGAGCTGATGGCGCAATCACTCAGGGCTCAGTGACACCTGCAGCAATCTGACACCGGCCGGCCTGCTGCAGGGGCGGCGGGGCGCAACTGCCAGGAGGGGACCTGGGAGCTCTGTGGACCCTGCTCCTGGCTTTGAAGCGCAGCGCCTTGAAGTTCAGTTTGCATTCATGATTTTGTTTTCCCAAAGAACTTCATTCTTAGGGTTCACTGCTTGGACTTCTCAGTTCCTTCCTTGTTTCACTGTGACCAGACAGAGGACCAGAAAAAGACCTTCAGTCTCCGGAGGCCTAAAGATGCAACGAATAGACTTATTTTCTATAAAGTCATATTTTAGTCATGGTTTTCTATTTTTAGTAGAAGAATCGGCAAAATAAAAACCTTTTTTGCACTGTTTGTTTACATGGACAAGGCCACTGGGCTGGGAACTCAGGAAGGAAGAATCTGTGTCTTTTATCTTGGCAGATACGGTACCTCACACGTAATTGTTTGCTTTAAAAAAGGATAGGAAAAAAGAAAAAGAAAACATACGCAACTGGTTTAGAAAGGATAGAGTGGTATCAGCAAGTTTGCTTACACCGTGGGCCTCCTTTCCTCCGCCGCTCAGTAACGCTTCGCTGTCGCCTGAGAAGCCCGAACGTGTCTGTGCTACAATCCTCGGCATCCAACAGCAGCATGGTCCTCTCCCATGCCGCTGTTTGCATCCTGACTGGGCTACTTCAGCATTCCCGCTGCCCTTGCTGCCTCTGACTTCGTGCTTGCCGTGTCTTTGTACTACTTGTAGCTCTCTTCTCCCCCTCCACTCAGGAGCTCTTCTGGAGCCAGCCTGGTGCTGCCTCTTACAAGAAACACTCCTTCATGGCTCCTTCTTCTCTTCAGCCCTTGCATTGGACGTTTGCAGTTTGCCTCTTCTCCTCCTGCTTAATGGCCCCAAGACAAATACCACACGTTCTTCCTAACATGTGGAATCTAAAACAGATGACAACACAGCGGATGGGAGACTCACCAGACTGCGGATGGGGAGGGGGCACTGGAAGGGGTGAAGGGCGGGTAACGGGGGCAGTGGCTGTGAGCAAAGGGTATAACACGCATTGAAACCCCCGAAATGTAGAGCCAGGCGGGAGGCGGGGTTGAGGCGATGGCAGCAGGGGAAATGATAAATTATGTCATGTGCATCCTCAAATCTGCCAAAATGAAACCTATCCATCTATGTAACCAATACAAGGGGCAACGGAAATGGGAACGGAATCGTCTGAAGACCCCCTTGGCGAAGCTTGTGGTTCCAACAGCACCAAGTCCGCCCTTGGCTCTAAAGTCAGACTTGAGACCTGTGTGAGCCATGGCCTTTAAACCGCCTCGATAGCATTTTGGGTCCAGGGATAGGTATAGGAACCTTATGGGGCTTTCATTAAACTGCTGGGATGAAGATGCACTCTCTTTTACACACACACACACACACACGGAACGTGTCTGTGTAGGGGCTGCTAGGAAACATCTTGAAGCTGTGAATGACTTAGGGTGGAGCTGCTGCTTAGGAATGAGAAGGAGAGGGGCACACAGCCCCCCCTGGGAACCCCGGAGGTCTTCGCCAGGGCCTTCTCCGCTACCAGTCCACAGAGCACTGTTTCATAAGCTGAGGATCCTCTTTGAGTTTCTGTTACTTGTAGTAAAGGTCACCACCATCCTCTTCGAACTCAATTTGCATTCATAGTAGAGACACACTCATTTTGGCTTTCCCATTTTTTAAAAAAGCAATCATTCTCTGCTTAACAAAGCCGAAAATTTCTTGCAAGTACAACAGTGTCCGGAATGCTTGCTTGTTTCCCCTTGGCATCTCCCACTGTGCTGGTCCGGAGTAAAATGCTCACACCGGCTTGTGGTTGATCCTGCCAACAGACATTATCTCCGCTGGCCAAGGCAGCGTGTGCTTTGTGACTTCCTGGCTGCATCAGAAGGAGCCCCAGGACAGAAGTCACTGCCACCCATCAAACTGGAGAGTGACAGACAGCAGGAGTGATGACAAACTCTCCAGCGCATCTTTACCACACCCCTATTAATGCATCTGACAACCACTGGCCTGTATCACCTCTTCTGCTATGAGCAGCTCAGTCTTGATTGGATAAAGTGCTTCCAAAAAATAGGTCACGCGTCCTTTTTGTCAAAGAACCACTGACCAGGCTGTTTTCCTTCCCCAGAGTTTCTGTTGCTGCTCCATCTCTTTTTGACCAGCTTGGGAAGCGTCCACACGAGAAAAGCAGATACAGCTGTGACAAGCGCTCCATGAGTAGGGGCGGCTCTCAGAGCCTGCAGGGTGACACAAGCAGTCGGGGCCCCTCGACACACACATTCCCTATGTTGTCCAAACAAAGGTAGAGAATGTTTGGCCAACATCTCAGCTTCAAAGACTTCATCCTTCACAAGGCACATAGCGTTTGTGAGCTTACTTTAGATATCCCCAATTTGTAAAACGTTATCACCAGTCTTCTGATAGAAACCTACTTAAAATAGGAACTATTTCAAGAAATACTTTTGTGAGAAAGACCAAAAATCATCTTCCCACATTTTAACACAGTGGTTCTTGGTCTTTACTGTGCACAAGAAATCAGTTTGATCTTGTTAAAATTCAGGCTCCCAGGCCCCACCAGGAAACTGTGACCTCCGCTGGTCTGGTGGGGGTGGACAGAGATGAGAGGCTGTCACAGTCACCCTGGGGCACTGCTGTGAGTGGCTCTTGGATAGGGTTCCCTCCAAATACTGGCAAGTCTGTGTTTTTACAGTTGTTCTGCCAAACCAGCTTATCATTCAGGCAAAGAAGTTGCAGCTGTGAAATTAGAAAATCAAGTTTCCACCTAAATGCCTTTTATTTTACCCAATTTCTCTACATGACTTAGAACTGTGACTCTAGTAATTTTTCTAAATTACTCTTTAGCTAAAAAGAATAGAGTAAGAAAAACCTGAGTACCTACTGGGAGGGGTCACCTGTGTCTTGATTTGTTTCTATGGCATTTGTTTTTTTCTCAGATGGGCACACGAGTCCTGTTGTTACTGTGTTGTTGATATTGTTAACTATATTGCTGTCATTTGAGAATCACTACTGTGGATATTAAAAGTAATGCTGCTACCAATAAATCGCTATCTAGTCTGCTTCCAAAGTTTGAAAAGCAAGCTATGCTTGTGAAGTTTTGGGGGAAAGGAAAAAAGCTAGCTGGATAAGACATGAAGAATCGGAAGATGCAGGACACGAAGCAAAAAAGTAGCAGGCTGAGAGGTACTGGGGGATGAGGGGTGTCTGGAGCCCGGAGAGGTGGCTTTTCAGGGGAGAATGCAGCTGTGCCCCTTCCTTCATTTGCCTGCTGGCTTCCTTCCTCAACGGTGATGCATGAATGGAGGTGCTGTCCTAGGTTACAACCAGAAGTTATCTCAGTGCAGCAAAACCCAACAGCCCTCCAGGAGCAAAACTTGAAGCAAACAATGGCAGGACACTATTCAGGGTAGCCAAAGGCAGTTGTAAACTGCAGCTTTTCATGTTTCTTGTATTGTTTGTTCTCCTTCACTCTCACCAACATGCTATTTTGAAGTATTCACGGTATTCTTTAAGAATGCTATGCTGTTCATGCTTGTGTGTACATGCAGGTCTGCCTGAGTGATGCCCAGATGCTGGGTGGGGGCACCTCTCGCTGAGGAGTAAACCTGCCTGCTGCTCTTCCTGTGGCGGGAGCTGCAAAGACGCCATTTCCAGCACCACAGCACCGGAGCTGTGACAAACCTGCCCAGTGGTGACCATGGTAGCACCTTGGGTCTGCTTTTCAGCACACACACAAAGATACACACACAAAGACACACATGCAGACACATGCACACAGACAGGCATGCAGACACACATGGAGATACGCACATACACATGGAGATACAGGCACAGGCACACATCGACACACACAGACACACACAAACACACATACATACAGGCAGAAATAAACATACATGCAATGAGGAGCTCAACTTTCCCTTACGTGTGTCAGTTTTCAGGTCTCTATCAATATCCACGTAAGACTGAATACCCAGTGTGAAAAAGACAGATATCCTCAAGATCAACGCCAGTCAGGTTCTCTACTATCTCAAAAATTTTCTGTTTAACCACAATCATCTTTCAACTTGCATGCATTTTATCTATGTCATGAATTTAACTCAATGCAAACCTGAAGCTCCCTGGAATTCAAGAAAACTGCACATTTCTCTCTATGTCTTATATAAGAATAATTTCTTCTTAAATAAGATTTAATGCAGTGGTTGAGAATATTTTCATTTTATATCAATAAATGACATGCTAAAGGAACATTCTGTATCACAAACATTTTGTAACTATCGTTCTTGCTTGGCAGCTAACATAAAACAAAATTAACAAAATTAACTACAGCCTAATGTTAACTACAATAAAGTAATGTTGTGTCTTTGGGTTTTAGCATCTTAAAATTCACTTTCCTAACAGCTAAAATAATTAAAATCCCTCCAAATATTTAAGGTACTGATGTGTAAAAGAAATTGTTTCAAATGAAACTAAAGGACTTTATTAAGGTAATGATCAATATTGTTCGAATATCCCATGATACACCCACAAATGCGAAACCCATGCTTTTATTCAGCTGTATGCTCATTTAAATCATGTCCATTAATTTTCTAGACACTGAAAACTTACTAGGAAACATTTAAGATTGTATGTCCTACTTCATTCTAATTCTTGTAAGAAAAATGCAATATAAATAACCTTTAATGTTTAATATATTTGTAAATGCTCCTGATATAGTAAACACTTACCACAAATGACTGATGATTCAATCCATTGGATTCTTAAGCTGTAATTTTTCTGTAATAGGGAAAATGTAAAAACAAAAATGCTTTACAAATGCACATCTGTTTTTGAGAAGGACATTTATCAGCTAAAATGTTTTAACCCTCCTTTTATTTGAGTATAGTTTGTCAGTTTAAAAATTACACAAAGCATAAAGTGATGTTTGCAGACAAAATTTGGTTGGACAGTTTTTCCAGAGATGCTCAGTATTGTTTGCTGAAATTAAAAAATGGAGATAGACTGATATAAAAGAATGTTCTGATGCCCCCCCAAAATGGGAACATTTAAAAAGCCATTTCATCCCCAGTCCTACCATTTTAAGCCATCTATTAGGCTGTGTGCAAAAACAACAAGGAAAAAATTAAAGCATTGTGCTGGGTGCTTGAACATCTGTGGATATCACTGAAAGCCACTTAATAATCCCAATGGAAGAAGTTTTACATTTTAAAATCTGAGACCTCAGTGTGCAAATCATTTTGCCTTTAGCCATTTCTAAACGAAGTGAAGGACCTGGAGGATTTTACAATTTCACATAGCACTGGTGAAATGGTTGTCAACTTTGATCTTACATTAATTAGTTAAAATCTTGGCTGATCACAGCAAAAGCAAGCTCAAAACTCTGGTCCCAAGCTAACAGGAAGTGCAGCCACAGTCTACAGCGAGATGAGTTCTACCTCGTTTTATCCTACATCCTCCATGTTTAGTGTAACGTCACAACGGGTAGTCTCGTGAATTAACTCACAGTGATGTAAGGGTATTGGTTAGCCTTTTACAGAGAGATACTCGGCCTCTCAAAGGCGTAAAACAAAAGTGCCTGGTTTGTATTTTCGTTTTGTTTGTTTGTTTGTTTTCCTGTTGAAAGACAAGACTTTAGAAAAATAATTTTATGTGCGTAATGAAATTATGAGGGATTCGGTCATGGGCATGCTTCATGTAAACCCTAAATGAAGCCTATTAGCCGTTTTGATTTGGTTTTTCCCAGCATGAAGTTTACTGTAAGACAAAGCTCAAAGCTATCTTAACTTTTAGGAAATATGACCTTGCTGTTCTGTGTGAGGAACTAAAATGTAAAACTCACAAACAGCCAATCCCGGCAAAGAATGTCCTTTTCCCTACAGGTAGTAGGAAACGGAGCCCCAAAGACAGGCCCCCATCTGAGCCTCGTCCCGGTCTGCACAAACCCACTCTATCAATCACCGCAGGGTAACGCATAGCCGCGGCACCTGTGACAGCGGTGATTGAGTGCTGGACACGGGGCCGCTTCGCCTGTCGCTCCGCGAATTTGTGTTTCTCCGGGGCCGGTTTGAGAATGTTCAGAACCTGGGGGTGGGGAGGAGGAGTCCCATTGTATCTCGAAGAAGAAATTACGGTGCATATTGGTGACCAAGACATGCTACAAAAGAGAAATTAGGCAGCGCCAGGTCTCGACCACGCAGGTGTGTGAGAGGCCGCGCAGCCAGACGCCACCGTATTTAGCTGTGATTTACTTTGCAGAAGCAGAGGGTGCTGAACGCGGTCCGCAGGGCGGACACCGGTGCCTTTATGGCCGCAAACAGAACAAAAGGTGCAGACTCACCTGGGTCCAAAAGATTCGTCTAAGTTTGGGAGAGCCGAGGGAAAACCGTATCTTTCCATGTTTTAAGTTCTTCCTGTTTTTTTTTTTTAACTTCTGATTTAATATCAACATCTAGCTATTTAAATGGTTTAACTTGGTGCTACAATCTGTAATGAACTGCAGCCCTGAGGGGTATAGTTTAAGTGATTTCCTGTCGAGTTCACCACTCCCTGAAAGGTGCCTATTTTAAAAGTAGCCCTCATCGTATTTCAGTGGCTCCATCTCTGAAGTATGCGTTCTTCTAATTATGCAAATAAAAATAAAATATTAGCAATGACTTTATTGCATGTGTGGTTCTTGTCATTTGAGTCTGGGCTCCTAAAATGATAAATATCTCTGTTTAAAAAAATATATTACCCACTGAAGCCTGACGGAGAGCGGGAACAAGACGAAAGCAAAGCTTGCACAATTCGAACTGAAAATGCTCCCCACCGAGCGGGCGGTTGGGGTGCGGCGCTACCTCGGCTCAGAATCCGCGGGTCGTTTTGGGTCTGTGGGAGCCGGGATTCCCTGCACCGCCACAGGCTCTGACTTCGAAGCGGTTGGGCGGGCGCCCTTCCCTCTGCGGTGCAGGGCGCGGACGGCTGCGGAGAAGGAGCCGGGCCCCGC